GGGAATGTTCGTTAAGAGACGGACCATTATTGTTTTGGAGAGGGGATGGACATTTCGTCAACGCAAATAATTTTTTTTTGGTGTTGTTGTCGTTGAAACAATTTTTTTGCACCTGCTTCCTTATGTAAACATTTTTTTTGTCCATCTGATTGCTGTGGATTTCATATATATATATATATATATATATATATATATATATATATATATATATATATATATATATATATATATATATATATATATATATATATATATAATAATATAGAATTTCGCTTACCTCAAAATTCCGCAACAGTCTGTTTCATCAGTAAAGAATCATCAGGCGGTATGACAAGTTTCGAAAAATAGGACTGCTTATATGTGTTTTGGCCGGAACGTGGGGGTGTGTGGGTGAAACAAAGCATGCATTCATCTATTATTTGCGTTGTTTACGCGGAAATGCCTAATCGAATTGTGGGAGTGTATTGTTTGCGTTGTTTACGCGAAATTTCTTCCTATGTCTGCACGTAGATATAATTTCCATTCTTTTATTGAGTAAACGGTTTTGGTTTTCTTTCAAAATACAAAATTTTTCCTCTAAACATAAATTACATCGTTTTGATCCTCCCGTATACGAAATAGCGCGTTTCAAAATTTGCCAATTGATATTAAAATCTTTCTTGCTATCTTTCAATGTCCAAATATATTTCGAAAGTTCAGTTTTGTTTGAGTGCTCTTTATGCTCGAAAGTATAGTTATGGTTAGCCAAACGCTCTTTAAATGCAGTTGATGTCATGCCAATATAATTCATGATCGTGTTAGGGTTGCTTGTTGTGACTGTTGCTTTGTATACTATGTCCTTAGTTGCATGCATTGTTTCTGAAGTGGGCATATTGCGTTTTTCGAACAACTGCAATTGACAGTGCCCTTGCCCTGTGCCTTGCTCTTCCTACAGTACCGCTCAGAATTAACCTAACACTGCGGTTGCGGTCGTTTTGCGGTTAGCCTGCGGTTAACGTGCGGTTATCGGGCGGCCAGTTAACGTGCGGTTATCGGGCGTTTTTTTTGCGGTTTAGCCCACGCATCGGCAAAAAGCTAACCGCGGTTTTAATATGCATTCTGATTCCGAGGTTTTCCGACCAAAAGCAGTAAAATGTTCACGGTATAGAATGTCTTCACTAATAAAATGCTAACTCGGGCTATAATATAACAGCTAAGAGAAAGCTTAAAGGCTGTGGTGTCAGCTTCAATTATATAATAAGGGCTACAGCAGATCGTCGATTATAATAAAGTTTTATAATAAAGGCTGGATTGTCAATTATAATAAAGTTTTATAATAAAGGCTCCAGGTTATAACGCGTGGGTGCCTAAAAGGCCGATATTTTATTTACCTTTTAGGTACACGCGTTATAACCTTTAGCCTTTATTATATTAAAGAGTTAAGTTAATTTAAGTTGATGCGCGCGCCAAATTCTTACTTATTCTAAAACATCTATTTAAACTGTAATAAACAAGAAGAGACCTACATATTTGCCTTTACCCTTCGTTTAAACTCTTAGTTATTCCAACAACTGAAGTATTTGTCGAAAGTAAGGAGACAATTCGCTCCCTGGCATAAAGCGACAGCCTCCCCATGCCTCAATGTTTACAAAATATGTCAATATTTATAAACCACACACAAAGTTTTTATAATGACCCCTTCGGAAATACACGAATATTTACGAATGCTATTACGAGTATATACGAAGCTTGCGGTTCGGTTCGGTTGCGGTCAAACCTCGGTTAAACCTCACGGTCACCGCGGTTTAACCTGAAAATTACTGCGGTATAACCTCGGTCAAACCTTTAAATCACCGCGGTCGCACCGCGGTTCAACCGAGGTTCAACCGAGGTTAAACCGCGGTTTTTGTTAGGTTAATTCTGAGCGGTACTGTAGCTATATGTGCATTGTGCTTAGTGATTATAGATAACTTACTTTTACTGTATTTCTGTTAAAGATATTATGCAGCTTGTGGTGCGAAGGAAAGTGCTTGTCGATAAGGTTAAGAAAATTACGCCCTATATTAGTGCTGACATTCATGCTAAATGGTGGGTTGAACCAAATGATATTACGTTGCCTATTTCTGCGTGCTTGCTGTGGTGCGTGTTGAGTGTAGTTAAGATCATGATTAAAGTTGCTATGGTCAAGTGCGTTTTGGTATGCTGGTGCAGATTCGATAAATGTTTGTTCATCTGATGAAAGCATTGCGATGCGCTTGTTAACTGATGTAGGAAGCTGCCTTATAATGCTAGGTGGATCCGTGGATGGTTAGAGTACCTATTTATGTATAGCGGATCGTCATTGGGCTTTCTATAGGGCCTATATTTTCCGTTGTTAAGATTGAAAGTTACATCTAAAAAGTTTACTATGCGTAAATTTGATTCGGCGGTGATTTTTAGGTCAAACAGCTCGAAAATTTTGTGGAGTTCTTTCCTTGTTTTGTCTGCTAAACGTGCCGATTTACTTTTTATTTAAATTTAAATTTTATTGTTAAATATCCATCTTTGGCATATAGAAATACAATGGATTTACAAGTTAAAAATATATACTAAAATACATGTATAACCTATGAGAATGTAAAAATTAGAAAGTTTAAGAAGTTATTATATACATATGTACAATGATCTAATTTCATGAGTTGGTTAATCTACACGCCCTTGGGATAAAAGACGTACTATATGCCTGTGTGTTTTTGAGAGCTGTCTTGGAGTGCTGTCTCTGGTCCTTCTCAGTTCGTAAGTGTGATTCTTATTACCAGATAGGAAACGATTACATGGGTTTTTTCAAGCTTCTTTGTTGAACACGTTCAATTTCTGCTTCAAGATATTTAGGGATTCCGCCCCAAACTGGAGAGGCGTATTCAAGTATTGGCCGGATCTTCGACGTACATGTTAATAAACCAATCTCGGGTGGTAGGAAGGATTTCCTGCACTCTCTGAGAAGGAATAATAGCTTATTTGCTCTTTTTGTTATTTTACAAACATGGGTATTCCACTTTAAGTCATTTTGCACCCATACACCGAGAAGTTTGAAGGAGTTTACTCTTTCTATTTCAATTCCATCCGTTTGTATAGGTGGGGGTTCAGAAGAGGATTGGGAAAAACTGATCCACATGTCCTTAGTTTTTTTGGGGTTCACCATCATTTTATTATCATTGGCCCACTTCATCACTTGATTAGTCGATTCCTGCATATTTGAAAGGGCTCCGTTTGCAACGACCTCATCAAGAGTGCAGTCGTCTGCATACTTGTGCGTGTTTGTAAGGTTGTTTGTTAACGTGTTTTCCAAATCATTGATATGAATATTGAACAGTGTTGGAGAAATAACGGAGCCTTGCGGGACTGCAGCTGGACAGGGGGCGCTTGAAGATATAACACCATGTAAATTCACATGTTGAGTCCGCTCTGCAAGGAAACACTTCACCCATGACCAGAAGGCCTTCGATACATTCATTTCCGCTAATTTTATTAATAGAATTCTATGGTCGACAAGGTCGAATGCTTTTTTGAAGTCCAAGAACGTAGTATGGACCCCTTTTCTTCCAATATTGGAGTTATCTGTTACATCAAACCACTTCTGGGTCATCGAGATCAGGGCTGAAACAGTAGATCGATTTTTAACGAAAGCATGTTGGTTGTCCTTTATTGCCAGATCATGAGAGTTGAGTTCCAACTAGATTTTCTCTATCATTTTAGCTAGATGAGGAAGCACAGAAATTTGCCTGAAATCGTTGTTTATATCTTTGGGTTGATGTATCTTTGGTACTGGAGTTACAATTGCATGCTTGTACGCAGTAGGATACTTGGATT